CCCTCCTGCCTCAGGGCTCTGAGCCAAGCTCACCAGATGCAGAGGACAAAGAGTCCCAGCAAACAGTCTCCCTCCATGTCACGGGCTCCAGGGCCTCCTCCTTGGGCAGGAAAAGAGGAGTTGAGACGTGTGCTCCTCCTGAGAAATCACCATTTTCATTTCATTTTTGAGAAACGGTTGTGCTCTGTCGCCCAGGCTGCAGGGTTTTGGCGCCATCATAGCTCGTTGCAGCCTAGAGCTCCTGGGCTCAAGTGATCCTCCTCCTTCAACCTCCTAAGTAGCTGGGACTACAGGTGCACGCCACCATGCTGGGCTAATTTGTTCATTTTTGATTTTATAGACACAGCGTCTCCTGTGTTGCCCAGGCTGTCTTGAACTCCTGGCCTCAAGTGATCCTCCCGTTTCTGCCTCCCACAGCACTGGGGTTACAGGCTTCAGCATCTCTTTTTGGTGAAGAACAAATAAGACCGTGACTCAGATTTCACAGAAATTTCCCCCCTGATTTCATGTACTTTTGGCAGCTCTATCAGGATTGAGCGGAGGTGACTTGCCCAGAGTCACACAGCTCTTGGAGGGCAGAGGGGAGGCCAACATCTGGCCTTGTGACTCTGATATTGAAGCAAAAATGGGTGATTTTAGTAATCCAAAAATGTCCAGGTTTGATTCTACTTCTACAAACACAGAGATCTAAGCTCACACTCCTGTGGTTATGATCACAGTTCCACAGTGTGGCTTTTGAATCTCATGATTGCAAAGCTGGCATCACGCCACAGGCACCATTCTGCAAGGCGCCCTGCTCACTCCCCTGTCTCAGCCATGTTTCCCATTAGGGACACAGCACAGCCTGTTTCTTCTCCATCCCCCCAGAGGTCTGAACAGAGGGACAGAGGTAAGGGCCAGAGATGTGGAGTCCTATGATCTACCCGCTCAGCCTCCTGACGCTGGACCCTCGGCAAGTCACCCCCCTCCCGGGGCCTCAGTTTCCCCACAGGGCCTGGCACAAGGTGGTTCTCAGACTCAGGGTTGATGAGATGACCTCTGAGTTCCTTGTACCTGAAAAAAAAATCTGTTGTCCCCATTGGGCCTCAGCAGCAGCACCCTGGGGCCCTACTGGGTGTGGCCAGGCCATAAGGACAGATCAGACTCCAGGTCACCTCCTCTCCTCCACCTTCTTTGGTTCCTTCAAATGTCCCAAAGAGACAGGCACCCCCAACACAAACCTTCCTTCTGGGGTCACCCAGCCGTGTCTCAGCAGTCCAAACAGAGCTGAACCCAGGGAGCTTTGTGAACCCATCTGAGCTGTTTCCCCCACCCTGTATAGTTTAAGGGCATAGCAGGAGGGGGGAAACATCAGACTCAAGTCTGGGTGCAAATCCAGGCTCTGACACTACTTTCGTGTCTGATCTGAACCAGTTACCTAACCTTTCTGAGCTTCTCTGCAAAAGCTGTGAGAATAAGGAGATGGGGGCAGGTCAACTGTCACCAACTTACCAAGGAAACTTCCCCTGACAAACTGAGCAAGATCCAGCTGTTCTGAGCTGTGTGGATCCCACCTACAGTTATGAGTCTGTGCAATAACCAGACACGTCCTCCAGCCTCCCAGACATACCCAGGAATTGAAAAGGGAAAGTGAAAGTCACAACTTCCCAGCAGCTCGTGATGAAGCACAGCAAACAGGCTACTCCCCAGCACCATCTTCAGTCCAGCCCTGCCCTTCTTGCTGCTGCACTTAGAGGAGCAGCCTGAGACCAGACATCCAGATCCCTCTCATCCAACCCACCTGCCTCGCATCCTCAGGGCTGGGAGTCTGCAGTGGTCTCAGGAAGAAAGACCTGCCACTGACAGACTGTGAGACCCTCCAGATTACTCCCCGTCCTCCTGTGCACCCACACTCCCCAGATGCCTGCCTTCCTCCCGCCCATGCCATCAGCATAAGTGCAATCTCCCACACATGCCGTGTGGATGCTTATTGTATATTTACTGTAATGCTGTTGGGGTTATTTTGGTTATGTTTTTGAGACAGGGTCTCAGTCTGTCACCAAGACTGAAGTGCACTGCCACAATCATAGCACGTGGCAGCTTCAGACCTCTGGGCTTAAGCCATCCTCACACCTCAGGGTTCTATAGGCATGAGCCAATAGAACCAGGCATAGCTGGTTCTATAGGCATGAGACAACAACCTAGCTAATTAAAAAAATATATAAATATTAGAGATGGGATCTTACTGTATTGACTGGGCTACTCTTGAACTCCAGGCCTCAAGCGATCCTCCCACCTTGGCATGAGCCACCGTACCAGGCCTGCTCTTGTTGAAGGCCATGCCTTGTGTCTTCTAGATATTTGCTTATGAGGGGTCTTCTGCCAGGAGCACCTGCTTCCACCACCTGGAAAAATCGTGCTCATCCTTCAATGACAAAATCAGGCATTGCCTCCTTTCAGAGAAGCCCCAGCATCCTCCCCAGCAGAGGCCACCGCCCCATGTTCCACTCCCGAGGCACACTGGGTGGAGGGACTAGAGACCACTGCTCACCACACTTCCATGGCTAAGAAGTCAGGCAACGAGATTGTTGTTGGACTTTTGTGGTTTGCCCCAGGCAGAAGGGCCTCAGAGGCAGCTAAACCACAAAAGTCAAACTGACCCTTCCATGGAAGCCTATTTCATCCTCAGCAAACATCTCTGGGGACATCGTGGCCACCTCTCCCTACCCATACACACACACACACACACACACACACACCAGCTTGTGAGGCAGGAACAGAAAGGTGAGGCAGGACAGAATAACCCTATTTCCAGGAAGGAGAAGACAACAGCTAATACCACTGCTCACCACATCCTGACTAAGCAGAGGTCCTCAGTCTCTCCACATGACAACTTCACTGCTAGCATAATCAGTATTTGAGAAAACAGCACACTAAACAAAACTACAACCAATTACACAGGGACTGCACAACACATTTTGCAATACATTCCATTTGCAAATACTTCTCCATTTGATTGAGTTTCATAGTCATCCCCTCAATGGGCCGGGATTATGATCTGATTTTGCAGATGAGGAAACTGAGGCAAGGGGAGAGGAAGTCTGGGACACGTCTCAGTCAGTTTACAGGTTTTCTCTGCCAAGGTTGAGGATGCACCCAGGAAAAAGCCACACAAGTCACAGAAGGATCTGGGGCCCACTCATTTTTCACAGAGGGTTTTGAGGGCTTCAGTATTTAAACGTGTAAAGTCAGGCAGCAGTAGAAGGAAAGGAAAAACGACAGGATAGGTAATGAGGTGAGTGGTCACATTCCTGTGAGGCTTTGATTAGCCTTCCCTGAATCCACAGGTTCTCTATGAAAGGAGGGGGTAGAGGAACAGTCAATTATTCATTCATCTCATGCACAGTTAATCTACATTTTCTATAAGATAAAAATAAACATAGAGTGGAGGAAGTAGGCATATGTGTATTTTTCTGAGGATGGGCAGAAGTCTTGCTATTTGCCACGTACCAGTCAAGGTAAGTTGCTAATTTACATTGCCACCATGAAATTACACAAAATCTGCCTCAGGGTAAAAATTTTGGGGACCCAGAAGGAATTTCCTTGTGAGCAATTTGTGAAGGAGGCCACCTGGGGAATATGTTGTCTTTTGTGTTTGCAAATATCTGCTTAGAAACAAAAACAAAGGCAGGTTTTGGAGTGGCTCCATTTCCAAGCTCAACTGTTTCCAGTGAGTTTGGGGTCCCAAGATTTGACTTTCCTTTCACATTTTCTCCTTGTTCATATATATATACACACACAGATATATAGATATGTAGATATAGATATACATTTCCTTTCACGTTTTCTCCTTGTTCATATATATACACACACATAGATATATAGATATATAGATATATATACATTTCCTTTCACGTTTTCTCCTTGTTCTTCAACTATATATATATATACGTGTGTGTGTGTGTGTGTGTATATATATGTGGTTTTTTTGAGACTCTGTCACCAGGCTGGAGTGCAGTGGCGTGATCTCGGCTCACGGCAACCTCCACTTCCTGGGTTCAAGTGATTCTCCTGCCTCAGCCTCCCAAGTAGCTAGGACTACAGGCACGCACCACCACACCCAGCTAATTTTGTAAACTGTAAAAGTAGAAGCAGAAGTGGGAAGAGCCCTGTAAATGTTCTCATTTATTAGTAGGAGCTAAGCTATGAAGACACAAAGTCATAAGAAGGACACAATGGGCTGGGCGTTGTGGCTCACATCTGCAACCCCAGTGCTTTGGGAGGCCAAGCAGGTGGATCACTTGAGGTCAGGAGTTCCAGGCCAGCCTAGCCAACATGGTGAAACCCCATCTCTACTAAAAATACAAAAAATTAGCTGGGTGTAGTGGAGGGCACCTGTAATCTCAGCAACTCAGAGGCTGAGGTGGGAGGATGGCTTGAGCCCCGGGGTTTGAAGCTGCGGTGAGCTATGATCGAGCCACTGCACTCCAGCCTGGGTTACAGAGAGAGACTCTGTATCAAAAACTTAACAAAAAATAACCCCAGCAGCATTGCAATAAATATGCAATAAGCATCTACCCAGCACATGTGGGAGACTGTGCTAATGCTGATGGCATATGTGGGAGTAAGGCAGGCATCTGAGGTGTGTGGGGGCACGGAAGGACGGGGGGTAATCTGGAGGCTCCCACAGTCAGTCAGTGACAGGTCTTTCTTGAGCTCAGAGAGGTTAGGTAACTAGTTCAGATCAGACAGGAAAGCAGGGGCAGAGCCTGGATTTGCACCCAGGCTTGAGTCTGATTTCTCTCTCCCTCCTGCTGTGCCCTTAAACTGCAGAGAGGGAGGGGGAAGCGGCTCAGATGGGTTCAAAAAACTCCCTGGGCTCAACGCTGGTTCTGACTGCCTGAGACATGGGCAGGTGACACAAGAGACCCTGAACCCTGAGGATGTGAGGCAGGTGGGTTGGAAGAGAGGGAGCTGAATGTCTGGTCTGGGGCTGCTTCTCTAAGTGCAGCAGCAAGAAGGCTGGACTTGGACTGCAAATGGTGCTGGCGAGCAGCCTGTTTGCTGTGCTTGATGACAAGCTGCTGGGAAGTTGTGACTTTCACTTTCCCTTTCAAATTCCTGGGTATATCTGGGAGGCCGGAGAATGTGTCTGGTTATTACACAGGTGCACAGCTGGAGGCAGGATCCACACAGCTCCTTGCTCAGTCTCTGTCAGAGGAAGATTCCTTGGTAAGTTGGGGATGGTGTGACCTCTCCCAATCTCCTTATTCTCACAATAGCTGCAGGAGGGAAGGATCATTCACCTTTTGTAGATAAGCTCAGAAAGATTAGGTAACTGGCTCAGATCAGACAGGAAAGCAGTGGCAGAGCCTGGATTTGCACCCAGGCTTGAGTCTGATTGCTCCCTCCCTCCTGCTGTGCCCTTAAAGAGAGGTGGGAAAAGCAGCTCAGATGGGTTCACAAAGCTCCCTGGGCTAAGCTCTGGTTCTGACTGCCTGAGACATGGCCAGGTGACCCCAGAAGAAAGGTGGGTGTTGGAGGTGCCCATCTCTTTGGGAAATTTGAAGGAATCAAAGAAGGTGGAGGAGGGGAGGTGACCCGGAGCCCGGGGTGTCTTTGTGGCCTGGCCACACCCAGGCTGGCCAGAGGATGCTGCTGCTGAGGCCCAATGGGGACAATATATTTCTTTTGATATAACAAGGAACCCAGAGGTTGTCTCACCCACCCTGAGTCGGAACACCTACTTGTGGCAGGCCCTGTGGGGAAACTGAGGCCCTGGGAGGGGACTTGCTGAGGGTCCCATGTCAGGAGGCTGAGCAGGTGGCTCATAGGACTTCATGTCTCTGGCCCTCACCTCTGTCCTTCTGTTCAGACCTCTGGGGGGATGGAGAAGAAACAGGTTGTGCTGTGTCCCTAATGGGAAACATGGCTGAGACAGGGGAAGTGAGAAGGTCGCATTGTAGAATGGTGTCTGTGGCATGATGCCAGCTTTGCAATCATGAGATTCAAAAACCACACTGGAATTGTGAGTATAACTACAGGAGTGACAGCTTAGATCTCTGTGTTTGTAGAAGCAGAATCAAACCTGGAAACTTGTGGATTATTGAAATCACTCCTTTTTGCTTCAGTATCAGAGTCACAAGGGCAGATGTTGGCCTCCTGTCCACCCTCGAAGAGCTGTGTGACTCTGGGCAAGTCACCTCCCCTCCCAGCCTGAGATTTTCCCCTCTTGAAAACCTGATAGAGCTGCCAAAATACCTGAAATCAGGGGGGAAATTTCTGTGAAATCTGAGTCATGGTCTTATTTGTTCTTCACCAAAAAGAGATGCCCATCAAGATAGAAAGAAAAATTAAATTCAATTCCTCAGCTGAAAGTGAAACTGAAGCTGGGCCATGTCATCCAAAGGCTGGCTGCTTTTAGTTCAAGTAATGCCTCCTGCACCTGGGATTTCCTCCAGGCTGTGCCAGGGAGGGTGGAGGGCAACCCAGTCAGTCGTAGGGGATGCAGCTGGGAACACAACAGGGTCCCCGTTGGATGCTCAGTCTAAAGGGGAGACAGAGGCCCAAAGAGCCACACACAGGTAGAGCTGCCTCCGGAAAGCAGAGTGCTCAGGGAGCCTGAGGAGGATTGGGGGATGGCACAGGGACCAGGTAGCTTTGGTTGGGTCTCTGAGGACGGGTGACTTGTGCATGGTGGGGACAGTGGGGGAGGCATTCCAGGGCGAGGGAGCAGCTGAGCGAAGGCCTGAGGCTGGGAATGGGAGGAGTAGATGGGTCCAGGAGGCATTGAAGCAGGGCGTCAGTGGGTGCGTGGACCCAAGGTGACTGTGGCGACACGGAGTGGTGAGTGTAATGTAAATGGGGAGCCGAGCAAGGAGACCCGAGGCAGATGAGAACATAGGTAGCCTTTACTGGGCTCACAGGCGAGGTTCACCGGTCCTCTAGGGGGAGGGCCAAGGTATCAGGGGCCTTTTATAGGGCGAAGTAGGTGGGGTTTGTAGATTTTGGTTTTCCTGAGTTAGGTTTTGATTTCTGGGGAATGACCTGTCCAGGAGCTTGCGCAGAGCGAGGGTTCTTTGGCGGGCGTGGACTTTTTTCACGCGCTGAGAGTCTTAGCAGGAAGTGAAGGGCGGGAAGTCCTAACAAAGGGCCTGCCATGCCGGGTGATACCGCCATGTTAGATCTAGATTCCGGCCTAACAGTGAGGAAGGTGGGAGCCAGAGCATCAGAGGGCCTGTGTGCCCCGCTACGGGGTTTGAACTCGACCCTGGCTTTTCATCGAAGATCCTCAGAAGGGTGCAGTGCCACGGCTGAGGTCTGTAATCCAGTGCTGTGGGACGCAGAGGTGGGAGGATCACCTGAGGCCAGGAGTTCAAGACAGCCTGGGCAACACAGGAGATGCTGTCTCTCTGAAATTAAAAATTAACAAATTAGTCCTGCGTGGTGGTGGGTGCCTGTAGTCCCAGCTACTCGGAAGACTGAGGCAGGAGGATCACTTGAGCCCAGGGGTTCTAGGCTGCAGTGAGCTATGATAGCCCTAAAGCTCTCCAGCCTGGGTGATGGAGCAAGACAGTTTCTCAAAAATAAAATGGAAAATGGCGATTTCTCAGGAAATCATTTCGACTCCTCTCTCCCTGCCCAAGGAGGATGTCCTACACCCAGTTGGAGGGAGATGCTCTGCTGAGAGTCTCTGTCCTCTGCATCTGGAGAGCTTGGCTCAGAGTTGAGGTGGGAGGGAGGGCTCCCCTTCCAGGTCTCTCAGTTGGGCAGGGCTTGGGCTGGGCCAGGTGCCTTTGGGGTGTCTTCCAGGAACAAAATCCCTTCCCGGAATTGACCAACCTGCAGACTCACCCATGGAGTACACACTGTGTCCTAGTCCAGCCTGAGGGGCAGTATCCGGCCTCAACCGCCCAGCAGAGGCTCCAGACAGGGGTGGGAGCCAGGCCAACAATGACCAAGGAGGATGGGATCCTGGGTGCAGCTCCTCACAAGTATCGGGCGTGTCCGAGGCCCCAGCTCTCTCTGCCCTGGGCTGCATACCAGGGGCAAGACCTTGTCTCAAAGAATAAAGGTGTGTTTTTGTTTTGTTTTGTTTTTCTTAAAGAAAAGACTACTGAGAGCCAGGAAGACTGAAAGAATGGGCATCTGGCCGGGCGCGGTGGCTCAAGCCTGTAATCCCAGCCCTTTGGGAGGCCGAGACGGGCAGACCACGAGGTCAGGAGATCAAGACCATCCTGGCTAACACGGTGAAACCCCGTCTCTAATAAGAAATACAAAAAACTAGCCGGGCGAGGTGGCGGGCGCCTGTAGTCCCAGCTACTCGGGAGGCTGAGGCCGGAGAATGGCGTGAACCCGGGAGGCGGAGCTTGCAGTGAGCTGAGATCCGGCCACTGCATTCCAGCTCTGGGCTACAGAGCGAGACTCCGTCTCAAAAAAAAAAAAAAAAAAAGAATGGGCATCTTCATGTACTGCTAGTTTGAGTGTGAATTGGTGCAATTTGCATACAGAGTGGCTCTAGGTAGAAAAACTTTTGAGACATTAATAGCTTCTGAGCTAGTCATTCTACTGCTACAAATATCTAAAGGAAATAATCTCAAATGTGGGCAGTTTTATATGAAGGAGGATATTCATTGTAGCATAATTTATATGAAGAATTAGAAGCACCCTAAGGTCCATCAGCCAGGGAGGACAGCAGAGGGGACAGGACAGCACCAGGAGGGCTCGGCAGCCACAGCAAGGGCTGCGCCGGCATCTGGCAGGATCCAGGTCTTTGTGCGACAGAGGACCTTAGAGAAGCGATGGGGACACAGGCTGTCCGCTGCAGCAGCAGTGAATTCACCAAGACGAAGAGTTGAGCACAGAGTGTGAGACACGGATTTGCAATGAGGAGTCATTTCCCATGAGCGTGTACACATGACTGAGTATTGTATATTGAAGGGAGTAGAGCACAGTCATTGAAGACATGGGGTTGAAGCAGAAGTCCTGGCTCTAGCACTATTGTGAAAACACGGGCAGGTTCCCTAACTTTTGTGGATTCCTCTGTGTTTGAATGAGAAGGTGGTACCCATCTCCCGGGCTGTGTGTGATCATCGAATGAGACACATGTAAGGAGCCCTGCACATCACAGACACTCAATACACACTGGCTATCATCAATCAGTTATCACACACGTTCCCAGGCCCAGGTCATTGTCAGAACCTTCCTCCCCATCTCTATTCCTGTGTATGGACTCCATAGTTTCTGTAAGGATCAGATGGCTGCCCCTTCTCGGATTATCTTCTCCTCATACCCCAACAGGACAAGAGGACCCTGCCTTGGTGTGAGAGTGAGGGCAGAGGGAGCTGGAACGAGGGGAGTTTTTGTAAACATTAGCTGGCAGGGCCCCAGGAGATAGAGAAACACTTTGGACATTTGCTACTACCACAGAGGGATCTACAAAGACCCAGCCCCTCCAGCCTCCCTCTGCACAGAGGTGGCTTATGTTCGATCCCACAATTTGTTTTCTCCTCCTCTAGGGTTAAGAAAAACCTTCCAGTCTGAACAGTGGCTAGAGAGCTCCAAGGAAAGCCCCTTGGTAACCCGGCCGCTGGCACCATGAATCCAGGTAGGCTCACTCCCTCTTCCCTGGCTGGTTCCTACATGCACCTAGAATGGAGGGTGGTGCCTCCACAGCTGAGTGAGCCCCAGAGGAACCCAGATGGAGAAGGAGGCCGATGAGTCTGCCCTGAGCTCAAGAGAGGTCACGTGGAGTCCCCGGACTCAGGGGTCTCTGGGGGCATCTGTGTCCTGACTTCTCCTCAGGAGGGCACGGCCCAGGGGCCAACTTCCTCCCTACCCTGGCACCTACCAAATGACTCAAGTGGGGCAGGACAGCCATGAGGAAGTGGAACCAGCAGGAGAGGGGAATGGGGGAAGAGCAGGGTCCAGGAGGAGGGGAGGGGTGGGAGAGGAGGTTGACCTGTTGCCCTGATCTCTCACCTCCCACTCTGCTCCTGGCTGACCCTGGGTTGTTTCCAGCAGAGGCTGGTCCCCTCCCTCCACCTCTCGCTCTGCACCAGCCCCTCTGTTCCGAGTGGCCTTGTGAGAATGTATCGTGCTTGACCCAGCTTCCAACTTGACTGGACCTCGGTCTGGCCTTTGCCACATCTCTTCTGTGTGACCTGGCGCTCCTTAGCTCCCCTCTCCTGCATGAGAATAATGTTTCCCTACGTTTTCATGGGGATCAAATATTACAAGGGTACCTGGCCTGGCCAGAGCCTGCCACACAGTAGGGCCTCTCTAAGGGTTAGTTTCCATCACCTCTACCTGTCCCTGTTGATTCCAGGTGGAAGCCACCCAGTCCGCCAAGCTGTGTTAGGGCAGCTGCCCTGCCCTGCCCATCACAAGCACCTGCTGACCAGGGATGACTGCCCTGGGCAGGGCCTCATTCCCATGATCTCAGATACCCCTTGTCAAAGAAAAATCTGAGGCACAGTAACATTTATTTGAGTAAGAATTCATGAATTGAGAAAACCAAACTGGAGGAGGCTTCGTGCTCTGGTGAAAAAATGTGGAAGACAATGATGATCAGGTGAATATGAAACTGCAATAAGGATATTATTTGGTTGCAGTTACAAAATTGCCTGTTTTGGTTTACCTTTTTGGAAAATTCCTGGTCACATTGGTGCCGGTGGGTTTACGAAAGTCTCCGAATCCACGTGAGACCAGACCTTAGCCTTGTCCTGGTTTTTGACTCCTTTGAGAGAAACAATTTGAGTCAAAGAAAAAGCAAATCAGTTTTTATTGCAAAGCGGAAGCACAGGCTTAGGGGTGGGAGTGCAGGTGGACTCAGAAGAGCCAGTCGGACACAGTGGGGTTTGGGGTTTCTGTCTTTGATGGTTTACTAAATTAAGGGGTTGGAGTCTGGGGAGGGCTCTCTTGCTAGCTTGAGGAGGCTGCCTTTGTGCTGTGTGCTCACCTGGTCTTCTTGTGTATCTTTCTCTTCTTACAATAGGACACTAGCCCTCTAATAGGATTAGAGCCCTACCTTTGTGATCTCATTCAGTCTTAAATGTTTCCTTAAAGGCCCAATCTCCAAATATAGGCACTCGAGTTTACGGCTTCAGTATATGAGTTTTGGGGGCCCACAATTCCTCTATAGCACTGATGACTCCATCAAAGATGTCCCACTTCGCAGCTGTGCAGGAAAAATTAACATGTTACCAACTTACACGCAATGGTTGTTATGCTCCCCTACACTTTTCTCCAACCTTATCCTTTCTTCTTTCCAACTAGAGAGTAGCACCTTTATTGAGGATTCCCTTAAGTATTTCCAAGACCGAGTGAGCAGAGAGAATCTGCTACAACTGCTGACTGACGGTAGAGCCTGGAACGAATTCCTGGTTGCTGCTGGACTGTCCAGGTAACCTCCACTGGCTTACCTCCATGGGGAACCCCGGTGATGCCACCCAGATCTCCCTTGGGCTAGTTTTCCCTGATATGCACACCTCCTCCAGGCAGGTCCCTCTGCTGGGCTTGAGGATGACCTTCTCAGCAGTCCAGGAAGAGTATTTCCTCCATGTCCTTCGCTGGCAGTGAGTAGCCTCAGGCTGAGGGGACAGGAAGCCCACAAGGACAGGGTCACTTCTGCCATCTGCTAGTGATGGGAACTTTGCAAGTTACTTTCTCACTTTCAGCCTTTCTTCATCCATGGAGTTTGATTGTGAGAAAAATGAGAGCATGCATGTAAAGTGCTTAGCATAATGACTGACACATAGTAGGTGCACAGTTAACGTTAACATCTAACAACCTTAGTGAAAATAGACCAGGATTAAGGGTCTTCTTCTTGAAGATAGGAGCCCAGCAGGACTTCCTTTGGGACAAGTCAGAAAAATCCTGACCTAACCAATGCGTGTTCCTGGGGATGCTGGCTGGGACCATTTTTTCTCATCTGAGGAATTCCATAAACACAGCAGGACCCTTCTGCTGGTCCAGGATGCTGAGAGGCTGGAGTGAACTTGGACAGCACTGGGTTTCCTCCCAGCTCTGTCTGTGCCTTGTCCCTGGGCTCTAAGCTTATGTCATGGAGACTGGGAACAGTCATCTGTCCAATAGGAATAGCAAGTCAATGTCATAGGAGTGTGGTGAAGGCCTTAGAGTGAACTCCAGGTCAAATGTGGGGAACCAAGACCAAGATCCTGCCCAAAGGCCAAGAGAGACCAGGACCAGTGTCAGAGCCTGGGGTCAGGATGCAGCAAGAGTCAACCTTGTTTTTGTAGGACAAGTAGGAAGGCTGGAGCACCAAGGCTGGGACTAGGGTGTGGCAAGAGAGGCACCAAGGGCTTGAAACTTAAGGAGGTCATGAACTTGCAGAGGACATGTGAGTGGGAGAGGAATATTTCTTCTCTGTCGGGATGATCCCAACACTCATGGACATAGAGGGTCATGGTTGCCTGTGTCTCTCACACCCTGCCTTGGAACTGGCAAGTTCTGGGATACCCTTTGGGATCTTCTTCTCTTCTACACAAAGAAGCCCCTGACAATGGCAAGCAGTATGACTTAGTGACCATCTCCATAGTAGAATGAGTTACTGCCAATTTATGTAATTTCAAGGGTACTGAGTAGACTGACAAGTCCCCAACCAAGAAGGAAAACACTTCTTCTAACATCTTGTCCAAATTCAGGTCTTTTCAGCATTAGAAATTTATATAGATGGTTCTGAAAGTGTCCTGAGTCTTCTAGAGGTGCTATAAAATTGCACTTGGCCTTGGCGTACACACAGGTGAAGCTGTCACTGCTAAGGCGTCAGTTAGGCTGGTGACATCTGCGAGTGAGACCTGGAAGGTTGGGAGTGCAGGGGGTAGGTCAGGAGGCGGTAAGGTGGCTAGAGAGTCCATGTGGAGCCAGAATGAATACCCAGATCTCCCACTTCAGTCAACTGGGCAGTGCCCGGACCCAGTAGCCTTCAGCCAGAGAGTGAAAGGTCATGAGGCATTGGAAGGGGGCACATGCCAGGCAAAGTGATCTCCTGTCTCTCTGAGGTTTGGTTTTATTTGAATTCAAAGTACTCAGAGGTAGCCAGACTGCAATGTCTGAGGGCACCTTACCTTTGACACCACCTGCAAATTAATGAGGATTCCTAAAACCATCTTTAGATTTTATAATTCACTAGAAGGATTCATATAACTCACTAAAAACTGCTATTTCATGATGTGGCTTATCACAGGGAAAGAACACAGATTAAAATCAGCCTAAGGAAGAGACACACAGGGCAGAGTCTGGGAGGGTTTCAGGTGTGAAGCTTCATTGTCCTCAGGACGCTGTGATATCTTGTGTCAATGTGGGACAAGACACACAGGATGTTGCCAACCAGGGAAGTTCACCCAGTTAAGGAAAAATTCCTATGAATCACATGAAATCAGGAAGGAAGCCTTTATTTAGGACGGTTGTTACAGGGGAGGGAGACTGAGCCCAGCTCCAAATACAGTAAAGACAGAGAGGGAGTCACAGCCAACACCAGGGTGAGGGGCAGGAGATGGAACAGTTCTGACAGGAGACACCAGAGTAGGGGGTTCCTGCTAAACTGGCCTAACAGGATTCTTGCTAAAGGCAGGTCAGACCCTCACCCATCAATTTTGGGGGTGAGGAGCATGATCAGATAGCAAAGAGTGCTCAGACAGCAAGCAGGGAGGACCCTCCCTAAACTGATTTGGAGCGATTCTTGCTGAGCTGGGGCGGTGCAAGTCCAGCAAGCAGTGAGTGGGTGTGGAAGGCCAAGGTCGGTGCCTAGTGGAGAAGAAGCTCAGAAGCGCCCCGCTGGAGCTGGTCAAGGAGAAAGTCTTTCTCAACCCATGTCTTAGTGTCCAGAATATTTGCTGGCGTTGGATCACAAGCTGCCCTCATGACTGACCTGTAGTCTCCAGCCCCTCCCTGAGGTCTCACACCTTTAGTCCCCAGGTCCTCTGGAAGTCAGGAAAGACACCAAATAGTGCCAAATCCCATCATCCATCACATTGCTGTACTGTCCCATGGCCAAATCACCAGACAAAGAAAGATGTTCCTACCAGGCAGGACACTCCAGGAGCCTGGAGATCACTTCCCAGGAGCTGAGGACAAAGGGAAGGTCTCTCTTTGGGAAAAGTTCATGCTTCACTTTGCTGCCATCCTGGGAATAAGGTGTCTTTGTCCCACTCTCACCACTCTTTGTTCATCTGCAGAGTTTTCTCGTCTCCAAACATTTTGGCAGTCACGGTGTTGACCTGCCCTTGAGTGAGGAGGCACCTTTATCAAACACCTACCATGAAAGAGCATCTGAGATGACTTTAAGATATTTATTTCCATATGGAATAAGTACTGAGGGGTATCTATGATGAACAAAGCATGTTTGAATTTGGAAGAAAATTCTTTCCATTTGTAAAATTTGTTTCTATTTGATTGATAGTGAAAGCTCTGCACTTTACACAGGATAAAGATCGCATGGAGCTCATTTCACAGACAGGGAAACTGCATTTCTTAATCCTTTAACCTTTCTTTGTGCAGGGATGAGGCAGATGTGCTCCGTAAAGCTCTGAACAAGCTTGTAAGTCACATGGTCACGAAGGACAAAAACCGCCATGATAAAGACCAGCAGCACAGGGAGTGGTTTTTGAAAGAGTTTCCTCGCTTGAAAAAGGAGCTTGAGGATCACATAAAGATGCTCCGTTCCCTCGCAAACCAGGTTCAGCGGGTCCACAGAGGCACCACCATTACCAATGTGGTGGCCAACTCTATTAGCACTACCTCTGGTGCCCTGAGCCTCCTTGGCCTGGGTCTGGCACCCTTCTCTGAAGGACTCAGTCTTTTGCTCATGGGCACTGGAGCGGGTCTAGGAGCAGCATCTGCTGCGACTGGGATTACCAGCAGTGTCGTGGAACTAGTAAAGCAATTGCGGGCACGAAACCAAGCTCGCAGCTTGGACCAAAGCAGCACCGATGCAGTGAATGTGGTGAAGGAGTTTGTGGGTGGGAACACACCCAACTTTCTTACCTTAGTTGACAGTTATTCCACCTTCACACAACGCATTGGGAGGGACATCCGTGCCATCAGACAAGGCAGAGTCAACCCTCAGTTAGGAGCATATGGCCCATCCCCCCAGGTCATTGGGCGAATCTCAGTTGAAGGTGGTGAACAGGTTGAGAGGGTTGCTGAAGGCCCCGCCCTGGCAATGAGCAGAGGAGCCATGACCGTGGGTGCAGCCACTGGAGCCATCTTGCTTCTGCTGGATGTGGTCAACACTGTGTATGAGACAAAGCACTTGCTTCAGGGGGCAAAGTCAGAGTTAGCTGAGGAGCTGAAGAAACAAGCTCAGGACCTGGAGGGGAAGCTCAACGTTCTCATCAAGATCCATGAGATGTTGCAGTAGGGCCAAGACCAGTGACCCCAGAGCAGGTCAGCCACCAGGGAAAGTGTGCCTGGCACAGGCCAGGACAAAATGCAGACATTTTATTAGGGGCATAAGGAGGGCAAGGTATAATTTATGGAAGTGAGTGTTAGTGACTTTGGCATTTCTGTAGCTGAGCACAGCAGGGGAGTGGTTAATGCAGATGGTAAGTGCACCAAGGAGAAGGCAGGAACACTGGAGCCAGGAATAAGGAAGGAAAGGGGACTGGAGAGTGCAGGGAATGGGAAGAAGCAGTTTACTTTAGACTGAAGAATATATTGGGGGAGGAATAGAGGGGAGGTGTGCAGGAACCAGCAATGAGAAGGCCAGGAAAAGAACCAAAAACGCAGAAAGTCAAAGAGTTAGAACTGTTGGATACAGGAGAAGAAACAGCGGCCCCGCTACAGACCCACCCCCAGGTTTGACGTCCTTCCAAGAATGAAGTCTATCCCTGGTGATGGTCACTCTGTCTTTCCAGCATCCTCTCTCCCTTGTCCTTCCGGGGCTGTGTCTCAGTCAGCCAGTGGCTTCTTGATGATGGTTGTTGGGGTGGTTGTTGTGTGATGGGTCCCCTCTAGGTTACTAAAGAGTGTATGTCCTCTGCTTGAACCCTGAAGGGCAGGTGGTGGGCCATGGCCACGGTCCCCAGCTGAGGAGCAGGTGTCCCTGAGAACTCAAACTTCCCAGAGAGTATCTGAGAACCAATCAATGAAAACAGTCCCATCGCTCTCACCCGATAAGTAAACAGTCAGAAAATTAGCGTGAAAGCAGCTTAGCATTGGGAGGAAGCGCAGATCTCTAGAGCTGTCCTGCCACCGCCCAGGAGTGACCTGTGTGTAAGTCCTAATAAACTCACCTACTCACCAAGCTGGACTTGTTCGAGTCAATTCTTTGGTCTCGCAGCTCCTTCCAAGCTTTGGGGGCCATCAGTCTCAAGTTTTTCTCGTAATGGTGGTGATGGTGGTTGTGACGGCAGCAGAGTCGTGGGGGCCTTGGCAAGTAGCCGGTGATCTTCCACACCAGGGGACACTGATGGACCGATGAAGTTCCAGGGGAACTCGAAATGCTGTGTTGGAAAGAGGTTAATTGGGGAAGAAACAGAAAAACGAAAGGAGATGCCAGGAACAGGTCAAGGAACCTTGAGGTGTGTCCAGTTCAATCCCACTTGTGGTCACCAGACCTCGCCTCTCTGAGCCTCAGTTTCCTCATCAGCTATAGAAGGGGGCTGGACAAGGTGATATCTCAGGTCCACCCGGCTCTCCCTGTCTTGTATTCTGGAGACTTGGGTCCAATCAACACTGATGGCTGTGCCTTTGTGGTGCTGATGGAGGCTCCCCTGGGCTTGGGTGCCTGACTTCCCTTCCTCATGATCCTTCTTCCAGGGTCTCAGGAGCGAGGCTTCCATGGCCCCTCCTGCTCACTCATTGGACTCTCACTTTCCCAGCTGGTCACTTCCCTGAGACCTCAAAACCCCAAGCCCACTGGGGCACCCACGGAAAGCTTGTACATGTCTGTCTCAGGCTGAGCACAGGCATGGTTTCCATCTGCGAGTCAGAGCCTGGGATTGACACGGGACACTTGAGGCTGCCTAGTGTCAGAGGGGACTGTGTGCAGATTGGAAGAGGATCAGTGAAAAAGAGAGCGACAAAGAGAGACATCCAGACAGCAAACACCCCCATCCAGTCTGTCCTCACATTTTGCCCAGACTCCGGCAAGAACTTCCAGAATGGTCTTCTCTGTGCCCCTGCCCCTGTCCCTCCCATGTCCTGGACCATGCTCCACACTGGGCCAGGTTGGGCTTTAACAATATAGTTTCTTTTTTTTTTTTTCATATACTCTCACTCTGTTGCAAGGCTGGCATACCATGGCATGATCATGGCTCACCACATCTTGGACCTCCTGGACTCAAACTATCCTTCCACCTTGACTCCCTGAGCAATTGGAACCATCCGTGTGTGCCCCAATGCCTCGCTAATTTTGGAATTTTTTTTTTTTTTTTTTTTAGAGAGAGGGTTTCCCCATCTTGCCCAGGCTGGTATCAAACTCCTCAGCTCGAGTGATCTGTTCACCTTGGCCTTCCAATGGGCTGCAATTACAGGCATGAGCCACCGTGCCCACCTAAGAACATAGATTTGATCGAGCACCTGCTTTCAACCCTCCAATGGCTTCCCATTACTCTTAGCACAAAGATGCAGGCCATGATGCTGCCTAAAGTAGCCTGTTGTGGCCTGGGGTCCTGTGAAGGAAGAGCCAGAGGCAACGTTCTGGTGCAGAGGGTTTGTGTGGGAGGTGATTCTAGGAGCAGAACTGAGGATCCAGGAGGGAAGGAGGAAAAGTTGACATAAGGAGAAGTTTTTGAATGGGCCATGCATGTGGGCAACGAGACCTTCTGAGGTGCCTTCAAGAAGCGTCCTCAGAATCTTTGTCTCCAGGGAGGAGAGAGGGAGGCCTTTATCCACTGCTGCTATCCCCATGGACTTGCCTCAGGGGACATTAATTGTCAGTGTTTCCCTGTTGTGGAGCCTGCGGGCACCTCAGCTGGAGCCCAGAGCAGGAGCAAGAGACAAACGGGATGTACACAATCACCCCAGAAACTCCCCTAAGTCACTCATAACATGCATCCAGGGCCTACCGAGTCCTTTCTGTGTAGCATCCTGCAGAATGTTTGCCTCAGTCCCTCTAACTCTCCATCAGCCAAGGTTTCCTTGAACTTCAATTGACTCATCTACTTCTTCCTGAAGAAGTCAGCAGAGCCACGGCCACCCACTTGCTGGCACCTGAACCGTGTGTTTCACTTTTTTGTCAATGCTTCATCAATTCTTGGATTATTCACATCTTTTCATAGATTTTTCTTGGGCATTGAGGGTACAAACACTAAGTGACTTGTTCAGCGATCCATCCACCCCTTTGCCCCTGAGCTCTTATTGTTGAAAGTCCATCATGCTAGCTGCATTTGATGCCGTCCCACTGTAATGCCCATGTCACTCGAGATTCTTTTAGTTGCAAAGCACAGAAACGGAGTCTGGTTGGCTTGAACAGGAAAGAAGATCCAGTAGGTGCAAACTAGGGCAATTCAGGGGATAGAAGAAAAGACAAAATCTACACAATTAAGGAAGGACAGTAACCAGGGAAAGGTCCAATATTAGGAAAATGTGGTTTGACCCTTGAGGCCTCTGCCACCAGCTAGCTTAAGTCCACACACTGTGAGTCCTAGTGTCTCTGATTAAAGTTTCACACTCCCAAAAGACAGAATAGCGTGGTCAGTGACTGTATACCTGCACCAACCATTCAGGTCAGGGTATCTGGAAGGGGGCTGGGTAATAGAAACACAAACCCTAGAGAGAAGTCTTGGGTCAAGCAGCCACCTGAATTTGTGCCTACTGTATACACTCAACCCCTAGATACGGCACACACATGTCCTCTTCTCATAGAAACAAAAATGACTCTCTTCACCTGTTACGGATCCAATTACCGCAAGGACGACAGCAAATGCACCTGTCACTTCTCCAGCTGGAGCCACGCCCACATTGCCTCCACCTCCTGCATCCTCAACTTCTGTCATGGAGAGGAGGGACCCAGCACGCTGTCCATTTTTCTCTTGGTCCATTGGGGTCTCCTATCCCAATTCTGAAAGCCCATTCTGAAAAGCCAGGCTGCCCTGGGAATAGAAAACTAGAGGTAGATGTCTGCTTTCTACAGTCAAAGATGTCAGCATTGAGGGCCCAGGGATGGAACAAAATTCTTTCATGAGAGAGAACTAACTATTCAACGTCCGTTCTCCTCTTCCTAGTTCAGGAGGTTGGGGTGAACAATCTGCAGCTTCCAGTCAGTCTTTTGTGTGTGTATATTTGCAGGAAATGAAGAGGTGGGGTTGAGGCTACAACCACCACTGACCATTGCTGCCACTATTACAAACCTTTGACTGATTTTTTCACTCAAACTTCCCCTTACTGATCGGCAAATTCATCCTTGTGCTGTCTGAACTCCTTGGTGGTCCTGCCTCAGTAAGGTTGTGGGATTTTCTATCAACTTGTACTACTTGTTAGAGTATTACGAGAAGCAAACCTCGATCCTCCTGTCCTGTGTGTCACAACAACACGAAGTTCTCTCGATAATCAAATAAATAAATCCAACCTGCTGACCTCAGTGCTATCTTCACATCAAGTAGCCTGAGAAGCCAGGTGTGGTCAGGTTCAAAACCACTGTTGTCAGCCTTGAGGGGGGCATTCTCAGCTACTAAAATTCCTGGAACCAAAATCCCAGTCGTAGGTATTGAAAACAAAACTTTTGAAAGTGATTCATTGTATGTAACCATAGAGTTATCACCCTCATCGTAACCGCTTACTGCCCAGGTTTATAAATTCTGGCTTTCACAGGAAATGAGGTCAATTCTAGGTATGGATTCAGAGCACAGCACATTCTAAAGGCAACTCCCAGCCTCTGACACGGAGCTGAGTCCCCTTTGGGCCATTTCCATGGGATCTAAGGCTGTCACTTCCAGGGGTGAGATTCACCGGGCGCCAGGTGGTCAGCCTTGATGACGGGTTCCGTGTTGCGTGGCTACACAGAGCTCCACATCAGGTACATGGTTAGGGAGCCCATCCTGAAAACACCAGGCTGCCCTGGGAATAGAGGAGACTTGTAGCCACAAAGGTCCCTTCTTCCCCTGTTTATAAAGACTGTTTCATGGTAGAGACCTCCTAGTGAGCATTCACGTGGAACAGGGTATTTTCAGCTCATTCTGAGAGCTCCAATTATATTTGTCTTCCCCAAATATCTTTGTCACCAAGCCAGCAGATGCATTCCTTCTAAAATGCTGTACTTCCAGCCAAATCCTCAGCTCTTTCCCAGCAAACAATGCAGATCCTGATCCGAGGACGCCGCCCTTTCCAGGCAGCCTGGTCTGTGAGGTGTGCTCCATTGCTCTTCAGGAATCATCCTTGAGAGGCGTTCCACAGCAGTCCAGGTCTGGCTGGAGCAGGTGGGTTGGACGGAAAGCACAGCAGAATTTGAGAGATGCTGAATCTTACAGTGATGACTCGCTGTAAGCACCTGAAGTCAGACCTCATGGTCTTTTCACTGCTGTTAGTCATTTGTCTCTATGTAGTTTTTGCAAACTAGAGGTAGATGTCTGCTTTCTACAATCAAAGATGTCAGTATTTAGGGCCCAGGGATGGAACAAAGTTGTTTCATGGGAGAGAACAGCATCCGTTCTCCTCTTCCTAGCTCAGGAGGTCTGGGTGGACAATCTGTAGCTTCCAAGAACACGCACTCCAGTTACCCACCCAGGAACTGAAAACATGATGACCAGGTGAGGGGAGGGTCCTGATGGACTCACCGAAAGGCAAACAGAAATCAGATATTCACTCATTACTTGTCCCCCTGTAACCTCCTCCTCTGACTGGAAGGCCACAGTGGCACACTGGGTCATTATGGGTCCCAGGAGTTGGTGTCAGTCTGGACGGGATCCAGCAGTCCTGGGGATGAGTTTCCTTGAGGCATTCCCCTGTTATCTGAGGGGACGCTCCAGGTCCAGGGAGAACAGGCAGGAGGAACGCTCATGGGCCGCACTTACGGGGAATGATGGGGCCTTTGGCAGACTCCTGGCCTCCGTTTCCTTCAAGGGCTCTGGGTCTGTCCTATGAGTCAGGCCTGAGAATCGGGTGACAAGCAGGGGCCATCCAGCATGATGTCCTGTGACAGGTGCCTGCCTACCAGGTTGGGGGTTTTGCAAAGTCAGTGGACTCTCTGCCAGCTCTATTTTGGGACCCTGTGCCTGGGAATTTCCCTGAGCCCTGATCATGCGCCCTCCCTGCTGCCTGACGTGGTGCCCACACTCCCTTTTCTTCTGGCCGTGATCCAGAGTTGGCCTCTTGGAATTTCTCCCACCCTGAAGAAACCAGGGTCCCAGTCCCTCCCCCATTCCAGAGAGTTCCTGGTTATCCGTTGATTCTTCTCACCAAAGGAGAGGGAAATCTCCTGAGCCCTGACAGGACACAGTGTGGGCAGGAAGGACCCAAGAAATCCAATCTAACCTTGCAATCTCCTATGCACGTTGAGTCCTTCTTGTTCGTCATGCCAAGTCGTTTCTGACTTTTTGGTGTCACAACGAAGTGGCCAGCATTTACTTGAGGGTGGCTCATCCAACCCTGGGCACAGCTGGCATCCCAGACTGCTGCTGGAGCAAACTGTGCCAGCTGAGGATGACTATGGTAAGGAACCCTAATGATGTTTCCCCTTCCTTGTGGACCTTTCTCAGACTCCACCCCACAGATGTCCCCAGCTCTCTGGACTTTGACGTTGAGCTCCTTCTCCTGCTGCAGCGTCTCACTCCTTTCCGTTCTGCAGTTCACTCTCCGGCCACACTGACTTGACCACTGGCTGTCTAGAAACAGACAGGGGGACCGGGGCAGACAGAAACAGAGGTGGAGCATCTTCCTCCCTCAGGGGCTGCACCTCAGAAGGGTCTTTAGATGTGGTTTGGAGATGAGATTCTTCAATCCCCCTCAGATGTCCCTATTGCAATTTTCTGGATACATCTTGTGTTAGGCTGAATAACAGCTCCCCACAGATGTGCATGTCCTAACGCTGGAACACGTGATTATGTCACCTTCCATCATAAAAGGGACCTTCCCGATGTGATCCAGTCAAAGATCTGGAGACGGGAGGTTATCTGGGATTATCTGGGCCCAAGGCATCCCTAAGGGTCCTTATAAGGCAGAGACAGTAGGGTGAGAGGGAGAAAAGGAGATGTGATGAAAGAAGGGGAGAGAGACTGAGAGAGATGAGAGGACGCTACAAGGCTGGCTTTGAAGATGAAGGCAGGAGCCAGGAGCCGAGGCCAGCAGGTGTCTCTAATAGCTGGAAAAGGCAAGGGAATGGCTTCTCCCAGAGCCTCCAGAAGGAACGCAGCCCTGCCCTGCGTCTTGATTTTAAGAAATCTGACCTCCGGAACTGCAAGAAAACAACTTTGTGTTGGTTTAAGTGAACACAAAGAATCACTGAATAACCAGGAACTCTCTGAAATTGGGGACGGGCTGGGACCCTGATCTCTTTAGGAGAAATTCCAAGAGGCCAACTCTGGGAGAGGCAGGTCATGGCCAGAAGAAAAGAGAGTGTGGGCACCAGGTCAGTGGTGCTTTGTTACAGCAGGGGAGGAACGAACACACCACTCTCTCCCCATCAGGGCCCTCATCTGCATTTGGAAGATCTGGCGAGGATGAAATTTATCATGCAACCAGAAACTGGAACACAGTGTGGCAGGAAGGATCCTATCTTGTTTTAACCTGAATTGACTCTCCCTTAGCTGAGAGAGCCAGATAGACTCCATTTGGCTCCTTCATCTGCACATCAAGGGCTCCTTACCCACCCTCTTCCTCAAGGACTTAATTTGTGCAAGCTGACTCTCAGTGTATCAGAGTGTAATTAACTGACAAAGGTACCCTGCCAAGCTATGTCTGAAGTTCCCAGGAATTCACTCAGGAGATAGTAACCTAAAGTCTCCGTGTTTGTGTCCAGTAGATAACACCCAAAGCCCCCGCACCTATCACCTTGTGATGAATTTAAAGCCCCTGCACCTGGAACTGTTTGTCTTCCTGTAACCATTTGTCTTTTTAACTTTTTTTTTTTTTTGCCTGTTTTACTTCTGTAAGATTGCTACAGCTAGGCTCCCCCTCCTCTCTCTAAACCAAAGTATAAAAGAAAATCTAGCCCCTTCTTTCAGGCTGAGAGAATTTTGAGCGCTAGCCTTCCCTCGGTCGCCAGCTAATAAAGGACTCCTGAATGAGTCTGAGAGTGTGGCGTTTCTCTGTACCTTGCTCAGTGACAACAAAACCTACAGAATCAGTCTCCGAATTTGCTTTTCACAGGAGAGTCAGCCAACAACATCAACAGCCACAATTTATCTGATGCTTTCAGGAAACATTTCAAAGCCACGTGTTTGTTTGAAGTATGGGTCCGGCTTCAGGTCCCAGCGTTCCTTGTCTCAGGTGGCAGCAGGTGCTATGCTGGTCCACATGGGGAGTTTCACTGTTGCTCTGCCTCCCTCTCAGCCTGAACACTAATTCCACAAATACCAATCATCCTGAGGGTCTGTTATCTACAACCAACTCGTTGGTACCAATGTTTTTTTAATCAGTCAAGATCCTTTGGATGCAAGCAGCACACAGCAAAGCAAAACCAAGACAAAAGCAAATGCAAGAACAAAAACAAATTAGACTTAAACATCCTCTGGCTAACTGACGGGTAGAAGTATGTCTTAGAATGATCTAGAGAGAAAGTTCACAGAAGTAAAGATTTCAGAAAAGCGGAAACCTTTTCTCGATGATAGACAGAGACTCAGTTTCCCAAAGAATAAGACCTCATACAGACAACATGAGGCCAACTGAATCTGTTTCTCTCTCGCATTCCTTTCTCTTTTACAGTTTGCTCAACAGACAAACAAAAGTCTTCTACTGTGTTTTGATATTACATAAAAATCTAGTTCCAAAGAGAAACACTAAATTTTACCTTTGTATTAATGGACTAGTAATGCTGAAGCTCATTGTACACAATCCTATAAACAAATCTATCAAATTGTAATCGGTTTGATTGTGAGGTAAAATTGCCACAGATCTTTTACAACTGTTAAGATTTTCTGTTAATCAGTGGATCAGTATACAGAGTATTAGCCATGACTTTGACACAGAGGCTCAGAGGCTGGCCCAGCATCCATGTGCTGTTTATGTTCATGTCCAATTTATAGAAAAACTAAGTAAGTTCTTTTAGATTTTAGCCAAACTTCATCACACATAATTTCTGTGATGAGATCAATCTTCCACAAACCTACTACAACTTGCTTAAAATTTCTTTTTTGCCATCTTTCTTTTAACTTGAAATGATCCTTAAAACCTCTCAACTAGATGAAATGATGTTTTCTTAAAAAGAAGCACAGCCCCATGCCCTCTTTCAACCCTTTTATCAAAACACATCCTTTAATACGTGCATTAGTCGGGGTTCTCCAGAGTGACACGGTCAATAGAATATATGTACACACAGAAGTACACATAGAAGTGAGTTTATTAGGGAGAATTGGCTCACATGATTACGAGCAGGAATCCTACAACAGGCCGTCGGCAAGCTGGGGAAAGACAGAAGCCAGTAGCATGGCTCAGTCCAAGTCCAAAAGTCTCAAAACCAGGGAAGCCGACTGCGTAGTCCTCGGTCTTAGAATGAAGTCTTGTAATCCTCCAGGAGGCCGCTGGTGCAAGTCCCAGAGTCCAAAGGCCAAAGACCATAAAGTCTGATGTCCCAGGGCAGGAGGAGAGGAAAGGAGCATCCAGCGTGGGAAGAGAGAGAGGGAGCGTGATGAGCAGGCTGCTCACCCCTTTCTCTTCTGCTTGCTTTGTTCTGGCCTCACTGGCAGCTGATTGGACGGTGCTGTCTACATTCAAGGTGTGTCTTTCTCTCTTAGTTCACGGACTCAAATGTCAATCTCCTTTGGGCAACACCCTCACAGACATGCCCAGAAACAATCCTTTAGCAGCCATCTAGGCATTCCTCAGTCTAGTGATGTTCACACCTCGTATTAACCATCACAATATACTTCGTGTGTAACCAGAAGGTGGTCTAGGCAGCAAAAGATGTAATGTTTAAATTACATACATTAATTGTGATGTAAACTCCTGGTAACTCTTATTTTTATTGAAGAATCTTGGAGGTAAGCAATTTTAATTATGCACTAGATGCATACCCCAGGACGAAGGACGATGCCCGAGGCTAAGCCAAAGGCTCAATTCTCAAGACATGTAGGTTTACAGACAAGACAAGCAAGCCTTAAAAGTACTACAGAAGCAAATTTTTATATCCTAATACATCTGGCCGACAAGAGTATCTGATCTGCGTGACTAATTCAGCCCAGATATCTAAATAAAGTTTTCAAGACATTTCTATTTTACCAATAATTTTTAAACTGTCTCTAGCAAAGATGATTAAAGTTACATGAAGTGAAGGCTATTCACATTAAAGTTTCTATTTTTCTGATAAAATATTAGATTTAAGTGCTTTTATTTATTTTTTTTTTTGGCAAGCCAATTAATTAGAACTCTTCTATACATGTTGGTGGGGAAATATTACATACCTATAACATATATAAATACATAGACACACCGACATGCAGACAGACCCAGATCCCATAGATTTGTAAGGTTTTTCATTTGTCACTTTTCCAAATTTTTCTCCCCCACTTTAGATTACTAATTTCTTTGTGTGTGTGTGTGTCAGAGTCTCACTCTGTCACCCAGGCTGTCTAGAGTGCAGTGGCACCATCTCTGCTCACTGCAAGCTCCGCCTCCTGGGTTCACCCCATTCTCCTGCCTCAGCCTCTGGAGTAGCTGGGACCATAGGCGCCCGCCACCACGCCCGGCTAATTTTTTGTATTTTTAGTAGAGACGGCATTTCACTGTGTTAGCCAGGATGGTCTCGAGCTCCTGACCTCGTGATGCGCCTGCCTTGGCCTTCCAAAGTGCTGGGATTACAGGCATGAGCCACCGCACCAGGCCCACCAATTTCTTGATAACCTGTTATATTGCCCTCAGCAATTGTCAGCCAGATGGCCCAAAATTTACGCTCTGAAGGAACAACTGTTAGGTGAAATCAGATAGAGATTTTACATCTCAAAGAAGAACTAAAACGTTTGGCCTAAATATTGTATCATCATTTGCTTAAACCAAGGAAAGATAAACAACTGGAACTGAATGCAGGTCTTGATGCTCATCACCTGCAGCATCCAATTAACAAGAGCGAGGTCTGCTAGAAAGAGAGTGACTTTACTAACCAAATTAGTGAAGGGGAAATGGCCGGATTCCCTTGGAAACCAATCACTTTTACAATCTCTCCATGTGACAAAGGTCTAATATTGAGAGTCTACAAGGATCTTAAGCAAATTAGCAAGAAAAAAAAACCAAACAACTCCATTCTAAAGTGGACAAAGGACATGAACAGACAGTTCTCAAAATAAGACACTCATATGGCCAACAAACATGAAAAAAAGCTCAACGTCACTGACTAGTAGAGAAATGCAAATCAAAACCACAATGAGATACTATTTCATGCCTGTCAGAATGGCGATCATTAAGAAGTCAAGAAACAACTGATGCTGGTGAGGTTGTAGAGAAAAAGAAACACCTTTTTTTTTTTTTTTTTTTTTTTTTGAGACAGAGTCTCACTCTCTTGCCCAGGCTGGAGTGCAGTGGCGCGATCTCGGCTCACTGCAAGCTCCACCTCCTGGGTTCACACCATTCTCCTGCCTCAGTCTCCCGTGTAGCTGGGACCACAGGCGCCCGCCACCACGCCCGGCTAATTTTTTGTATTTTTAGTAGAGACGGGGTTTCACCCTGTTAGCCAGGATGGTCTCAATCTCCTGACCTCGTGATCCGTCAGCCTCGGCCTCCCAAAGTGCTGGGATTACAAGCGTGAGCCACCGCGCCCGGCAAAAGAAACACTTTTACATTGTTGGTGGGAGTATAAATTAGTTCAACCATTGTGGAAGACAGGGTGGCAATTTGTCCAAGAAACCCATTTGACCCAGCAATTCCACTGCTGTGTATATACCCAAAGGAATATAAATCACTCTGTTGTAAAGATACAAGCACACGTACGTTCACTACAGCACTATTCACAATAGCAAAGACGTGGAATCAACCCAAATGCTCATCAGTGATAGACTGGATAAAGCAAATATGGTACGTATATATCACGGAATACTCTGCAGCCATAAAAAGGAATGAGACCATGTCTTTTGCAGGGACATGGATGGAGCCAGAAGCTGTCATCCTCAGCAAACTAACGCAGGAACGGAAAATCAAATACCGTATGTTTTCACTGATAAGTGAGAGCTGAATGATGAAAATACAGGGACCCATCAGGGGGAACAACACTCACTGGGGCCTGTTGGTGCAGGGGGAGGGAGAGCAGCGGGAAGAAGAGCTAATGGATGCCAGGCTTAATACCCAGGTGATGGGTTGATCTGTGCAGCAAAGGACCGTGACACACGTTTACCTGCATCCCACACGTGTACCTGGATCCTAAAATAACAGCTGAAGGAAAAAATGAAACTTTTCATTGGAAAAACGAAAGAAAGAAAGAAAAAGAAAGAAAGAAAGAAAGAAAGAAAGAGAAAGAAAGAAAGAGAAAGAAAGAAAGAAAGAAAAAGAAAGAAAGAAAGAAAGAAAGAAAGAAAGAAAGAAAGAAAGAAAGAAAGAAAGAAAGAAAGAGAAAGAAAGAAAGAGAAAGAAAGAAAGAAAGAAAAAGAAAGAGAAAGAAAGAAAAAGAAAGAGAAAGAAAGAGAAAGAAAGAAAGAGAAAGAAAGAAAGAAAGAAAGAAAAGAAAGAAAGAAAGAAAGAAAGAAAAAAGAAAGAAAGGAAGAAATAAAGGAAGAAAAGAAAGAAAGAAAAGAAAGAAACCAGTTAGATGTTGTTGGGTAAAGGCTGGGCCTTAAAAAGGAAAGCTTGATAAGGACGGCAGGCTAGAATTGTGCTGAGTACAACATGTGTACGTCCTGTCCCGGTGGCTCTCGTGGGTCCCAGTCCACCTGGATCTTGGGCTGGCGTCATCTCAGTGATGGCTGGATTGCTAACTAGCTGCCTTGAGTACTCTCTGAAATTTTGTAGCTGGATCTCCAGGCTTGGCGTATGTGTCTCAAGATTAGCCTATGGAGCTTCTGAGAGAGCATATGGTTAGACACTAGCACACAGTCAGATAAACATGGGGGTATATATGGTGAGAAAGGGAGGAGCATGGACTCTATTT